TCGTTCGCACGGAACTCTGTAGCTACAGTGACGTCCCTCCATTTACCCCAGTGTCAACTCTGGTACGCATTTTATAGAGGCTGTGTGAACCCCGGAAGCCGCCCGGTTTCGAACACCCACCGTGGGCTGCAGCGAGTCGTAGCTGGATTTGCGCTAACGCGGCCCGGGGTTACAAGTAATTAACGAAGGGGTCAACTGGAAAGCATTGCACTACCGAAACTTGGTCAGATTTGGCTAAAAGGAACATTGACCCCCCCCCCCCCCTTTACATACACACTAAGTCACTTCTTATTAATAGTTCCTGTGACCTTCGCACAAGGTTACGGGGGTGTTTAGTTGATATCGCGTGTTGTATATTTCGGGTGTGTCCCGCTCTGTTGTTTGCTTTCTGCGTTGTCTTGCATTTACGTTTTCATTCCAAAAAAAATAATGCATGTGACATAGGTTGCAGCACTCTCTATGGGGTTGTGTTACGGTCAGTTTCCCCATGTTTTCTGACGTGCTTAAATATACAACACGCGATATCAACAGCATCGTGGAACACCCCTCTGACCTTGTACGAAGGGCACGGGGCTAAGCAACTACCATCACAGTGAGCTATTGTGTATATGGACGGGACCTGAGGAGACTAACGTTATGTGTTCCCAGGCTCAACTCCAATACCCAGAGGAAAAGGAAGTTAAAATAGTTTTTACCCGGAGGGAAGGAAGATTAGAATAATTTTTACTCAGAGGGAAGAACGGTTAGAATAATTTTTACTCAGAAGGAACAAACGTTACAGTAATTTTAACAAATGTATGACTATTTCAGATCAAACGTTGAGTGTGCTGCACGATGCAATACTGATCGCCAGTGCTGGTATTTCAAAGTTAACAAAGGGACATGTCTGCTGTACTCACTGTCTTTACCACCTTGTGATGTATATATTTACAAATACATTGGCTAGAGCTTTCAGTCTTTGACTTATGATTATTTGCATTAAAAAAAAAATCACTGTGTGGATTTTATTACCTTTCTTCTTCTTGTGTTCAATTTCTGATTTATACCGACAGGCAAGTACTGTATAATCATACATATAGTGGGGGTTGTACTGTGGTAGTACTGTACCTTCTAGCCCAGTATTTCCGACTTCAGGATCTCTTGAGAGGGAGAGTGGGCTCATCCCTTCGCCTTTACATCGTTTATTGTCCCATCCAGTTTCCCGCCAGGGGGTTGAGACCACAACCTTCCACTGGATTGCTGAGAAGAACAAGGTCCACCAGATGAAGGTGACATAAGCTTGAGCAAAAGAGGCTAAAGTACATTAAGAGTTCTGCACTGCGCATCACTGGAGGACCCCGATTTCGGGGCTTCTTTGGATGGGGTTTAGGGGAAGTGATCAAATTGCCCCCTAACGAGATTGTCTTTGTTCTTCCTCTTATCGTTGACCGGATGTAAACTCCTGTGACAGATTCTAGTTGTTCGTCCATTTCTGGACTTTGGTCTTGCTCTGTAACTTGGGTGTCACGTGCACATTTGTTTTTACATATCTGACTTATCTGTAAGCGGACTGTTGTTTTCTGGCCTCTCAGGTGGATGCATTTCAATTTTGAAGAAAGCCGCCAATCAATCGGCTCTTACACCATACTTGTTGGAGGGGCAGCGAGTCTGTTCTCATGTTCCTTACAGTGGGGCCCCAGAACCCAGATGGGAAATGAGTGCATATATATGCAGGACCACTACAGCCATTACAATATATTCTTCATGTTTTTCTTGGATGCTCAGCTCTTAATCTGCCTAAAATCTTTTTCTTGTTTGTCCCCTTTTCCTTCTTGCAATCCATGGCAGCCTAATCCTTTGAATTTGTATATATCTCCTGCCCCCCCCCCACCCCCAACCCTTTTTTTCTACATAAAGTAATCAATGGAATCCTAATCTTATGAGTTTGCATCAAAGCCTACAACTGCAATCATTACCATCATAATCATACAATAAGTCCTTTGCAGAACGTCGCTCTCATCATGGTCTGCCTGAAAGAAACTCAGTCTCTCACCAGCTCTCCTGCCTCATGTACTTTCATATGCGAGGAGTCACTTATATGCTGAACGGAAATGAGATTTCTGTAAAGGGCTCTTAAAAATATTAGGAATGATGAAATCTGAAGGAGAATAGGGGTAGCAGCAGCTGTGGATTTCATTAGAAGACAACATGTGAAATGGTTTGGTCGTTTAACCCAGGTGTCAACAAACAGTATACCACAGCAAGCAATGATGTACAGACCAGGCGGAAAGTGAAGAAGAAGCTGACAATGCAAATTATGGACAGAGGAAATAACAGTCTCAAAAATCAACACTTATGAAGCGCACAGAAGGGCAAATTCCCATTAAAAAAAAAAAAAAATCCAGAAACCATGAGTTTTTTTTCGGCATTGATTACAGATAGATATCGTAAATCTGGGAGAAATGTGGCTTTTCTGCCTACCCCCGGGCGTGAACCTGGACCACAAGGAGTTCATCACCTGGTCGCCGCGAAGTCAGGTTTAACCAACTATGCTAGCAAGCCGGGGACTTTCCCATAAATTACACTTCACCTGGACACCGCAAGGTACCAGATGCTTGAGATGTGGAATGAGATAAGAGACTTATGTGCACATCTTCATGCTGGTCATCCCCTGCCCCCTCCTTACAACCATAACATCCTGAATAACATTTTGTCTTCCCTGTGTGGGTTTCAGTGCCCCAATCTCAGGAGAAGACCCACTGCTCCTTAACAAGCATGTCACAAAAGGCAATAATTTGGGGATTTGCTGAAACTTTTTGAGTTGGGTCAAGTGTGCAAATATCACAGCCTGCTGCAACTATAGCACAATGTACCAAACTTTTTTATTAGAATGAACACGAAAAAAAGTGTTAATTCATGCTTATATTTGAAAATCGCTAATATACATTTAAAATAACACCGTTTTAACCAAAACTCATTTAAACAATTATTATTTATAAATGTAATTGAACTCTTTCAGTACTAAGCAACTTTATAAGTAACTTTATACCTGATTATTATTTGCTGCGTCCAGCTGTTAAATCCATTTACTTTATTCCAGTTGTTACACCCATTCATTCTATTCCAGTCGCTTCACCCAATCAATCTATTCCAGTTGTTACATCATTCACTCTATTCCAGCTGTTACAACACCATTCACTCTATTCCAGTTGTTACACCATTTCATTCTATTCCAGTTGTTACATCCATTCACTATATTAACTTACTCTATCCTAGTTATATCAATCCACTCTCAACTGCTACATCACTCCACTCTACTCCAGTTGTTACAACCACCCACTCTATTCCGTTTGTTCATCCACGCACTCTATTCCAACTTTTATTTTGACTCTAATCTTGATGATCAAGAAGGGGTTTACAAGCACAAGAATCAACTTCTGCCCTGGGTTTCACACTGTATAACTTAACTTCTCTCTGCAGAGTGGCTGTTAACCAGAATCTGTCATAGGAGTTTACATCCGGTGAACGATAAGACATGTTTAATAGGGGGCAATTTGATCAGCCCCCCCCCCCCCCCCAACCATCCAAAGGGACCTCGAAATCAGGGTCCTATTAGAGCAGTGATGTTCAGTAAAGGACTCCTTATATATGTTAGCCTCTTTTGTTCAAGCTTATGTGACCTTCACCTGGTGGACCGTGTTCTCGGGAATCCAGTGGAAGGTTGTGGTCTCAACCCCTGGCAGGGAACTGGAAGCGACAACAAACAAGCTAAAGGTGAAGGGATGAGCCCACTCTCGCTCTCAAGAGATCCTGAAGTCAGAAATACTGGGCCAGCAGTGACCTCTAGGTATAAAGTATCTTTAAGTTCAACTAGTGTAGTACATCTAACTTGTCAAGGCTCAATATGTTAACTGTTTCGAATATAATGACTGAAAGTAACAGCTAAGTGGAAAGGAAGGAGTTAAGCAATAACAAACAAACTGTTATTTTAAATAACAAGAATAACAGTTAAGTCAACACACGTTACTTATAAGAAACTGAACTATCTGAAAAAAGAAGACACAAACAATAGAATGCACAATTTATTGCCTGGCATATTTCACTGTACCTCATCAGGTACATACCACAGTAATAACAAATATACAACAAAGTAAAAGTAAAGGACCCTTTTCCTTTAGGCGTATACGATATAAAGAGCTCGGCCAACTTTACTTCCCAGGACTGTACCTCATACCCACTCAAGGCTGGGTCAACCTCAGAGCTAAGGTGTATTAAAAAACAAATCAAGCCCCAACGGGACCTGAACCTACGGCCTTCCGATCCACAGGTGAGCATCTAGTCGCTCCAAGGAATAGGTAATAAAGGGAATAAATGTATTTTTACAAGAGAAATTAAGCTCTTCGGCTTCTTAGCACTCACCATATGTAAAATTCAGAAGAAAGTTCTGTTTCTTTGCCCCATTTCTGGACTTTGGTCTTGTTCCAAAACTCTGTGCACATTTATATTACAGATCTGGCTTATGTGTATGCAGACTTTTGGTTGCCATCCAAGGAGGCTTCTATAAATGCAGAACCAGTACATGGTGCTCTGGTACTGGGCTCTCCCAAGGAATAGTCATGTCCTGCTCATGACTGTTTAACTTCACTTCTGTATATTAACTCTTTGAGTGGCATCACAGGCCCAGAGGGGTAGTAAAGAAAGTAATAAAATCAGCGCATCATGCGTTCATTGGGCTTCTAGGTAGGAACCTACGAATGTATGATGCGTTCCTTGGGAGTTAAGCCTCCCACATATCAAGGACAGTAACTATGGAAACCAGCAGTAGGAAGTCTGCAAACCTTGAATTTTGAAACCTACATAAAATGAATGCTTTGCTTTTTATGCATCTTAAGACTTTTAATGCAGTGAACTTCCGTGTGCGCTATAGTTTCACATGAAAGTTGTGCAGTCTATTTTCTGTGTCTTCTTTGCTCAAACTGACAATAGGGTTGCTTTGATAAATGCAACTGTTTCGAAGTACCTTACTCATAATAAACAGTGCTGATGTCAAAGAATCTTGGCGGTGACAGTTTGGTGACTCTGTGATTTAAGTGCTTGACAAACCTCATTGTGTCCTTGTCCCTGTACACCAAAGCTAAACAATTGCTGGCTGGACACACAGACAACAGCTGTCAAGGGAGAGAATCAGAATGTTACACAACACAGGTATAAACTACACAAACAACAAATGGCAGGGGAGAGAACTGAATGTTACACAACACAGGGAGGTAACTATTTAAATAACACATGTCAGGGGAGAGAATTAGAACTGACTGACTGACTTTCTACCCCACCAGGACATCACACAAGCGATAAACACCCGATGACACAAAGTGCCAACATGTGGACGAGGATCACCGTGGAGAGGTCCCAGAAACCGCGTTCAGCCGATTGGCCATATTTATAGCCTGGCAAGAGCCAGGGTGGGGCTTCAAATAACGAAAAATTTCATCCTAAAAAGGACGGCAAGTTAGCTATAAGAGAATTAGAATGTTACAAAACACTGGTAAGCAACTGCATAAACAAAAAATGTCAGGGGCGAGAATTAAAATATTTCACAACACAGGTAGGCATGTAAATAGACAACAAATGTCAGGGGAGAGAATTAGAATGTTTCAAAACAGAAGTAGGCAACTATATAAACAATAAATGTCAGTGAAAAGAACTACAATGTTACACAACACAAACAGGAAACTATACAGAAGGATGTTCATGTTGAAAAAGACACACTGAGAGAGGGTGATAAAAATATAACTAGAATGTTCTTACACTGTAACCCACAGGCTCAAAGGAATAGAGGAGGAAACAGCCCCAAAAAAAAATGGTGAAGAGAAATGTTAAAAGATGGAAAGGAAACGCGGTAAGCTGCATGCAATCATCATCTAGTGTGGGCGATCATGGCTCTTCACAATCTGCTATCTTAAACAGCATGTATCAGTTCTTGTGCTGATACCACCCCATTCCATGGTAAAAGGCTGACAAGAATCTTCTCATGTTCTCTTTCTTTAATTCTTTTTCCAGATATTTCTGGTCTTCACAACATGCTCTAAGTTTCTTCTTCCCATAACCTAACCAAAATGTGGTGAGTTGGTTGTCGGCCTATGCTCCACTGGGGAATAACAAGCAAAAGAAGAATACCTCCTACTCTAGTTCTGGGCTCACCAAAGGAATCACCATGTCCTGAACATGGCTGTTTAATCGCAATTTTTAGTCGAGTTCTATTCTCGGTGCTTTATTAATTTCCTACCCGCAGATGACGTCACAGGACAGTCCAACATTTTAGAGGGTGGTAAAACTGGGTTTCCCAGCTTTCTGATGCTTTTAACGGCCCCAAAACATCTAGAACTGGCCCTAACCCCAACCCACCTACGTCCCACGAGAGAGTGCAGCCTATGTCCCATGACTGCATGCAGCCTGGGTCCCACGACTGCATGCAACCTATCTACCACCTCTTGAAATATTAGACTGTCCTGTGACCTGCGGATTTCTCCTGTTGGGGGTAGGATATTATTAAAACACCCTCTATTCTCTACATCAAAATTAAAAGTATAAAAAGGTTAACCTTGAAAGAATTAAACCAAAGAGTTGATTTTTAAAAAAAAATTATACCTCCTCTTCCTCTCCCTTAGCAATATAAGAAGTGTATCCTCCATTTTCAACCAACCATTCTGAAATATAAAATAAAACAGATTAATGAAGTGATCAATTTATGCAAAAGTGGTTGTAGGAGATGACAGAAAAATCTTTTTCTGTCCCCTTCTGTGGTTGGAGCGCTATGTTTATAGTTTATCATTAGGCTTTAATAGTGTACCTTTCTGCCCAAAACACCTTCCTTCTCTCCTAATGTTCACCGGCTGTAAATTCTGGAGGAAAGTTCTGGTTGTTTGTCCACTTCTGGGCTTTGGTCTTGTTCCACAACTTGAGGAAGTTGTAATGTTGCTCTGATGCTAGAGTTTAGTGCTTGGTGCAGCCCTGTGTGCTGCCTTTCCTTTGTGCAGCTGTTGTGTTGTTGGATTCAATATGGCCGGTAGCGGGTTTACATGAAATACTTTGTAATAATTTTACAAGTGTAAAGCCAACTTATCGCGCCCGACTACTTCCATCAATGACAAACTGCATTTCTGGTGGCTACTATTGGCTTTGGCATCTCTAGCAACTGCATGCACCTATGTCTGGATAGTGCCGGGCCTAATTGTTTGTTCACCAGTTTTACAAATCGGACAGTAAGTGACATTTTATTTGATTTTCACTGGCACAGGAACGGAGCAAGTATGGGGAAAACTGATTGCAGTGAAGTTGAAACCTTGATTAAGACTAAGAAAGGCAGTAGAAATCCCCCCCCCCCCCCCATAAAAAAAAAAAAATTTGTTACCTTGAGTACAACCAATGTACATGACTGTGTCTAAAGCAAAATCCTGCATCTCAGTATCGGTGTCATGGCCAAGTGTGTAGCAACTATGCTCCCATCTTCGTACTTCACTTCGGCATCGAGGATCTGCAGCTGAAGATGTAACAACAACAATGTATGTCAACAATCTCACCTGTGAACACATCTAAAACAACACAGTGTACTTCGTTGTGTTCATGGCTGTAAAAAGTTCCAATTGTTCGTCCACTTCTGGACTGTGGTCGTGCTCCAGAACTAGAGTTTTGTGTGCAAACATCCATTTTAGAGAACTGGCTTTGTTGTATTTAGAATGTTGGTTCCTTGACTCCCAGGCAGAGATGCACTCTGACTTTGAAGGATTCACTTCTAAACTAATCAGTCGCCTCCTGGATCTACTTATTCTTTTCCATATAAAAAAAACATGGGGTTCCTGAACACACACTGGAAAGTATACAAATCAAAACAGTAGATAAACAGAAAGTTTATGTCTCGCTGTGATTTCAGTCACAAGTGTGAGGGAAAGTTAAGGTCATTGTGATGTGTACAATAGGGATCATTCTGTCATGAACACTAGGTGGGCATTAAATCTGCCTCCTATCCGCTATTACTACCGACGGTCAGCCTATGGATCATGCTGATATTATCAATGCCCTCAGAGAAATGGGAAGGATAGAGGACTTTGGTGGCAGTGAATCCACATCACTCGCCAGAATGGCAGACTTGGGAATTAAGATCGGCACAGCAAAAAACGAGACGCACACCAGCTACGCCAGAAGACTTGTTAATCAACATAGAACTGGTACTATTAGCCATCGGACGTTGGGGTTCATACTGAGGGGAGGATCTGAGCACCTATGGACATGTCCGGAGTGCAATGAGGATAACCCAGCTAACTAACTAACTAACTAGCTACCTAAATCTGCCTCTTATTAACACAGGCAGCAAAGTTTGATGTCTCATAGATCTAATGTAGGTCTGTCTATTCTTTTTTTAAATATCCAGAAATGATGAGCTGGGTACTATGGATATTGCAAACCTTAGGCCTTAATTCCATGATAGGTACCGTAAATCTGGGAGAAATGTGGCTTTTTGCCTACCCCCAGGTGTAAACTCGGACCACAAGGAGTTTGTCACCCAGTCGCCATGCAGTCAGGTTTAACCAACTCAGCTAGCGAGCCGGGCCTATTCTGTGTAATAGATAACAACAATGGCAGAGACAGTCAAGACATTCTGGGAGATGTTGTTTCAGAAAAGTTTAAAACCTTCTAATTCAAGTCAGGCAACATTAAACTTTACTGTCTTTTAGTGCTGAAAAAAAATATAACTAATAGGATTCACAATTTTGTTTATCTTTGTCCCTGTGTGGGTTCTAGGGTCCCACTTGCGTGATGGGGAGACCCACTGCCACCCTAAAAAATCAAATCGCAGGTGGAGACTAATTAGGGTGGAATGAGGGAAGGGTGATAGGGGCCCTTCAAAGTTGGAGTGCACCTGCCTGAGAAGCAAGGAACAATCAGCCTGCATACAAATAGGTCAGATCTGTAAAATCTATGTGCAAGCAAAACTCAAGTTCTGGATCCCAAATCCAGGAGTGCACGAACAATCATAATTGTCCGCCAGAGTTTATAGCCGAAGAAAAAAAAGGAGGATGCTGAAAATTGATGTTTTGGACTTCCCCCCCCCCCCACACTGGGGCTACGGAATAATCACTGGGAGGTCACGTACTAGGAAAGAGCAGGAACAATTCTCATATTTCTCCTCATATTCCCGCACCAAGTAACTTTCTAACAGAATGTTCGTCCATTTGGACTCTAGCTTTGTGCCTGGACATGAGTTTTAGGTACACGTCCGTGTTATGGCTTATTTGGGTGCGGCATGTTGTTCCTTATCACTCTGGCGTATGTACTCCTACTTCAAAGGAAAAATAACTAACACCATTATGTTGTTGTTTGCTTGCGTTCACAGGCTGTAAACCCTGGTGGAAAGAACTTGTTCTTCCACTTCTGACTGGCTTTGTTTCAGGACCTGTGTTTTGCATCTGCATCCGTTTTACAGAACTTGCTTATTTGTAATGCAAACTTTGGGTTCCTTACATCTCAGGCAGATGCACTCCGACTTTGAAGGAAGCCCCCAGTTGGTCAACTCTTACAACATGCTAGTTGGGGAGGCAGTGGGTCTATTCTTGTTTTCTTGCGCGTGCATGTCTGTGTGAGTGTTTGTGCATCTGTGAGTGTATTTGTATGAATGTGTGTGTGTGTGTGAGTGTGTGTGTGTACCATTATGCCTCTGTGTGTGTGGCTGTGTGTGTATCTGTGGCTGTGAGTGTCTGTGTGTGTGCGGTATTGTGTGTATTTGTGTGTCTATTATATAATGTCTGCCTGTGCATAAGTCTCTGTTCTGTGTCGGTTTATGTGTCTGCATGTATGTCTGTGTGCGTATGGGGGTCTGCATGTGTGACTGTGTACGTGTCTCTGTGTGTATCTAATGTATGTTGCGCATGTCTATGTGTGTGTCGGTGTGTGTCTGTCTCCCTACCTGCGTGTGTGTTTGTGTGCCTGTGTTTATGTCTGTGTGCATCGGTGTGTGTGTTTGTAGGTGTCTTTTTTGTGTGGCTACGCGTGTATGTGTGTGTGTATATAGCTGTGTGTATCTGTATGTGTCTAAAATGTATGTGTGTGTGTTTTAAAGCGTGAGTCTGTGTGGGTGACTGTGTATGAGTGTGTGTGTATGTATGTATGTGTATCTACGCATGTATGTATGTGTGTGTGTGCATGTTTGTATGTATGTCAATTTATGTATTTATTGGGTGCCTGTTTGTGTGTGTAAGTGAGTGAATGGGTGTGCGTGTGTATGTGGACATATTTTACCACTCATGCTTTTGTTTTTGACTTACTAGATATTCATAATATGAATATTATTACATAAAAATAACATGCCTTATTGATAAAGTACAACTGAAAAAGATGGAAGGCAGAATGTAAGACAGGCCTGCGTGCCTAATTTGTGACCCTTTGAAAATAAAGTTCGTTCGTTTCCCACAATTGAGCCCCAGAACCCATACGGGGAAAACACCATTTTAAAAAACTGGAAAGTGCATCCAAGAACAGGCACAACGTCAACAGCAACAAAACCTTAACTCACATGCCGCACCATTGATGATGATGATGATGACGACGACGGTCCACCGACCTTTCCATTAACTGTAACCTCACTATCCTCACAAGGAGCCAGGGGATGCAGTTTTAAACCTGTCAAGTTGGACAGTACTAAAAAGGCAGCATCAGAGTGAATGACATGCAGAAATTCAGAGACTACTTGGGGCATCTGCTTCATATCTGCTGAGTAATATTTTCTGTAAAATACAAAGAGGATACTTCTAAAATACAAACAAAGAAGATTCTTATAAAATACAAAGAGGACTTTTCAGTGTGTCTCTGGGAGAATTATAAATGCAGTTAATACTGTATTAAAGTAACTATCAAAAGAAAATGAGCAAAGAAAACAAACATTGGACAAGCAACAAAGATGCAGTAACAGAGAAAATCAATAGCAGAGGGAGGAAAACCAGCACAAGGAATCAACTCTTTTGACCTTCTTCTTCTTCTGCCTTTTTTACCCCCAATGGAGCATAGGTCCTCAACCAACTCCAGGTGGCAGGGCCCATGATAATCAACTACTGATTTGTTGTAACTGCTTTTTTACCCCCAATGGAGCATAGGTCCTCAACCAACTCAAGCCAAGGTCGTTCTATTCTTTGCTAACACCTTTCAACCAAAGTCACATAGTTTTATAATTTTTGGTTTCTTAAAAGGATATAAAATATGAATACAAAAGGCCAGAGGAGTTTTCATAGCACTAGGGAATTTGTGGAGGTCAAAAGAAATCAAAAGAAACACTAAACTTAAAATATGTAATTCTAGTGTAAAATCAGTTCTGTCGTATGAAGTAGAAATGTGGAGAACAACTTAGGCAGTTAGTTACTAATAAACTACAAATATTCATTAAGTGGTGCCTGTGCAGAATAAAGGGAATTAAATGGTATGATGGAATCACTGATGTAGAGTTTTGGGAGAGAACTAAACAAGTTCCAGTGGACCAAGAGGTAAAGAAAAGATGCTGCCATTGGATAGGACAGATGTTGAGAAAACTGGAGAACAATATAACTAGAATGTCTTTGCACTGGAACCCAGAGGAGCATAGGAATAAAGGAAGACAGGGGAAAAAAACATGGAGAAGTGAGCTAGAGAGTGACGTTAAAAAATATGGGGAGAGCCAGTTACCACTGAACCTAATGGAAACTCTGGTGTCCTAATTTCTATAAATAAAGCTAATTTCCACAAGGCTATTTTTAGCAACTATGCTCATTCCCTGTTATTACAAAAAGTTGCCTAGGAAAAAAACAGAAGCAATGCTGTAGACAGGACAGCCAATAAGCAAGCAAGGAAAGTGACTTTCACATGGCCATGGAACAAACCAGAAGTGCCAGATTTTGTGCTTCTTAAGGGTGAAAATGTATTTGATGACGACCTAGATAGCAAAAGGTAGGCAGCATAGAAGGGTCCTCTCCACAATCAGTTGTAATTAGGAATTAACACCCACAGAAGAAAAAAAAATGATAGCTAGCAATAACCACAACGGACAGGAATGCCGAAGGGATAGCAAACACAAAGACAAAAAACAAAACAAAAAATTTTTTTAAATCGCAAAAATCGCAAAAAAAAACCCCTACCAAAGCTTACCAAGAGTCATTTTGACAGACAGGCAGCTTAATGTTTTTAGTCATGGCAGGTTTTTGCTTCTGATAATTGTAAGCTATCAAATTGTCCTCCATATGTAGACTGAAAGAATATAGTTCCCTCCCCGAGCTACTGAGATGAGTGCATGGTGTGACACTGCGAGCTGCTGATTTCATTTTGAATGCTTTTTGACTGTGTCCAACATGGTTTGTGTTGTGAACTGCAGTTCAGAGAACAACCTGTTGCCAGAGCACTGGTGGTACCTTATGCAATTAATCTATTGTGCAACTACTGATCTGAAAGAGTGTGCTAATATGTTACACGCAACCTGTTCTGCTCTATGGCAGCGAATCTTGGAATGTCAGTGAACAAATTAAGAAGAATTTGGAAGTAACAGAGATGTGATTTCTGAGACGTATGTTACAAATATTATGGACAGCCAGAGTAACTAACAACGATTGCTTGAAAGAAGCTAATAAAAGCAGATCTCTATATACAACAATAAGAAAGAGACAAACACTTCTTTAGCCACATAATGAGAAGAGAGACATTGGGGAACATCGTGAAAACTGGAAAGATCAGTAGAAAAGCGGGGTAGAGGCAGACCAAGAGAGACGATGCTGGATGGGCTGAAACGATGGCATGGAGGGATATTATCTAGAGAGCTGTTCCAGGCAACCAGGGATCGTGATCTGTGGAGACGCATGAGCGCCTGCTCTAGGTGACAGGGCCCATGATAATCCACTACTGATTTGTTGTAACTGCTGTTCCCAGCGGAGATAAACTGCATTTTTAGTGGCGTACCGTTTGCGTTGGCACTTGTAACATTGTAACACCTGCTTTATGCATTTAATGCATGTGGGTGCTTTTGCCTTTGCTGATTCTACAGTCTGTGTTAATTTTTAGTTCTTTATTAATATCCTACCCCAGATGACATAACAGGACAGCCCAACATTTTAGAGGGTGGTAAGACTGGGTTTCCCGGCTAAATGATGCTATTAGTGCCCTTAAAATATCTAGAACTGGCCCCTAACCCTAACCCACCTACATCCCACGAGAGAATGCAGCCTATGTCCCATGAATGCATGCAGCCTATCTACCACCCCCTGAAATATTAGACTGTCCCGTGACCTGTGGATTTCCCCTGTTTGGGGTAGGATAATGAAGCACAACATTTTTTTGTCTAAAAGATACAGCTATAAATGAAAGGCTACCTTTTGTTTGCAGGACCCAGCAAACTCCATTTGATATTCTCGTCTGCCAGAGCTTCCACCAAAGCAGCATATTTGTCCCCCTGCGTAACATCAGAAAATCAATCACGAGATGCCTGCATCTATACAAGGATTTTTCTATCTTCTTTTCTTTTTTGGTTACTTTCTTCTCAGTAATCTTCACTCATTCCTCTTCACTTACTGCCATTGTATTTTCTTTTAATATAATACTATCTTTCTTTTCATTTATTCCTTTACTTCTTTTCTGTAATATTTTTCCTTCTGTATTTCTTTCATTCTGCTTTTTTTCTTTCCATTCATCGCCTTGAGTTTCTTTCTTTTCACTCACACGCTCCTTTCTTTTCTTCAGTTTTATGTCAATATTTTTCATATTCACAAGGACAGACGATACCCACATGAGTTCAAGATTAATAAGAATTTTACTAAAATATTTCATGAGAGGGGGACAGGAGAGCACTACAATATCAACAGACAGATCAAATAATAATGGACTGATAGAGTGGATTGGAAGCAGAAATCATAATTTCTTGAAACAAATATTCTGTAATAGATCACTATAAAAAAAACCTTTGTAGATTCCAGAATAAAGGACTGAGCACTGTTTTAGTGCATTTATGTAGTTATTTTGTCCAGCTTTTACAGATCTTACTTGACACAGTGTCTTTGGACAGTGCACTCTATGCTTGTATGACAGCTTTGCAATTGCACAGTGGAGTGCCTGATTATACCCCCCCCCCCTCCCCCTTTCAACCCACAAAACAAAACCAGATTGCAAAAATTTATTGCCTGGCATATTATGCTCAATCCCAGGCGCATACTACAGTAACAACTGATGTAAAAATCGCTGATGAGCTCAGTCAAGAGCACTATTAAGACTGATGTTCATTTCTGTAAGGCTGTTCTTGATGCCATCAACTGATTTACTGGAAGCGACCGCTATAAACCCGTTTAGTCCAGAATTATGCAGACAAAAGGACCTTACAGTTTTTGAATGTAGCTCATTTTGTGTTTCAGTTCAAAGGATTCATTTATTTGCTTCATTTTAATCAACTGTTACTGCAGTATGCAGCTGACGAGATACAGCAAAATATGCCAGGCAATAAATTACGCAGTTTATTGTTTGTGTCCTCTTTGTTCAAATTTACAACAGGAAAACATTGCTTTGACTTCCTCATCTAGTAACTGTTGATGTGACATAATCAAAGAAGCAGAGGATTTCACACCTGCCTGTCTCCTCGGCTGTCTAGGGGTTCGACCCCCTGGAAATTTATAAAAAGTTATCAAGACTCAAATTTTCTCCTGCTTCTTTTCATCTTCTAGTTTCTTCGGAAAGTTTATGAGAATCATAAAGATGTTTTTTTTTAAACACAAAATTGGAAATCGGGTCATTTTTCAACATTCTTTAATGCAGTGATTAATTCCTAATGTGGCGTCCCCTTAAAACAGTTCCTCATGCTGCGGTAACCCCCCAACCATAAAAAAATATTTTAATTGCTTCTTCATAACCTCAGTAAATTATGAGTTTTCCTATGGTCTTAGGCCACCCATGTAAAAAGGTTGTTTGACCCCCAAAGGGGTCATGACCCACAAGTTGAGAACCCCTGTTTCAAAGGGTGAAAGGGTTTCAAGACAGGTTGGCACATTATGTTTGGATTTACAGCTACAAAATATCTGTCTTGTGGCCAAATACATCCGATTTCAGCAAACCCTTTTACTGAATGCTTGTTGAGGGGCCCTAGGTCTGCCCCCCCCCCCCCCCACAAATGGGGCACCAGAACCCACAAAGATCAGGATTTTCCCCACTAAAGACCTACCTGAAGGAAATCTGTAAGCTCTATTTCTGAATCCTCCTCAAACTGTTTTTTTATATCGGCCTGGATTTCTGGAGCAAGGTAAAATGGATTGATCCAAGCATAGAACACCTCTTCCTGGTGAAAGATTATTTTATAAGTCAGTTAAGTAGTTTACGTCTTCTTCTTCCTTCTTCGTGGTCAGCGGCTTTAAGCTCCGGTGGAAAGTTCTGGTTATTCATCCAATTCTGGACTCTAGTCCTGTTCCAGAAGCTGAATGTTTCTCAGGCAGATGTGCGCTGACTTCGAAGGAAGCTTCCATTTAGTTGACTCTTATGACATGCTTTTGGGCAGGCAGTGGGTCTATTCTTGTTTTCCCCCACATTGGGGCCCCGGAACTCACAAGACGAGGTAGTTTATGTGTATCTAATACATAATAAAAGCATTCTTTCTACAGAGCGGCAAGATTCTTCTTCTTCTGCGTTCGACATCAGTCATGCTAAACATTGAGTCCCGTCTGGGTCACAAATAGGATTGTGCATTTAAGGTTGCCACTGGTCCCCCATAGCTTCTCTTGCAACGTAGCTCCCTTGGGCCAGATCCACAGTCTTTGCTGGGAGAAGTTAGGGCAGTATGTGCTCAGGGGTCTGTCTTTCTGCTCCACAATCACAGGCAGCAGATTCGATTTGCAAGCATAACTTCAGAGGTTCCCCGCTGGTTTGCATCCTTTAGATCTTGTCTCCAAGACATTTCAGATGTGTGGGGAAAACTTCTGTCTCTTCCTGGCATTCACCAGCTGTAAACTCTGGCGAGAAGTTCTGGTGTTTGCCAACTTCTGGATTTAAGTCTTGTTCCAGAACTTGCGCTTTGCGTGCACATCCATTTTATAAATCAGGCTTATTTTTATGCAGGCTGTTGGTTCCTCGTCTTTCAGGCAGAGGCACTCCAACTTTGAAGGCAACACCCTTAATTAGTAAACTTTTATGACATGCTTTTCAGGAAAAAGCGAGTCTATTAATCCCCCACGTTGGAACACCAGAAACACTATAAAGGCACTCTCTGTGCAGAGTGGCAAACATAAAGGTGCCCGCTGGTTAGCATCAGTTGGATCTTTCCTCCACGGCATGCACTTGTGTTATTTTTTTTTTCTTTTCCATAGAATTCACCGGCAGTATATTCCGGCAGAAAGTTAACGATGTTCGCCTTCTGTCCAGAGACTGTATGCTTGTTCCAGAACTTGAATTTTATATCCATTTTACAGATCTGGCTTTTTTGTGTGCAGACTGTTGGTTCCTCATCTCTCAATTCAATGCACTCAGACTTGAAGGAAACGTATAGGGCTCTACCTACATTTTATAGACCAATCGGCACTTGGAGGGTGATGTGGTCAGCATCTGAAAGCCAAGGTCAACATTTCTAATCAGTCGTCTTTTAAGATATGCTTGTTAGGAGGTGATGGGTCTAATTCCCCCCCCCCTTTTCCCAAATGGGGCCTTTGAACCTACAGGGATAAATTTTTTTTAATTTTATATTTTGCATCTGTATCTCTTCTTATTCTTTTGTTCACTTGAAATAGATTATCTATATCCCCAATGTTGTCTCTAGTATGAACTTCACTATCGGTTGTTAATTCACCCAGTGACCCGTGAAGTTTGGCATGCACCAGTGTTTCTCTTGGCCAAACGTTTTGCCTTGATATGCTGCATTTGGGACAGTCTTAGATGATGTGATCTGTTGTCACAGGTTCTAATCCATATGTACACATGACTGATTCACCATCTGTACCTTTTTCCTGTGACAACTTAATAAGCCATACTGTTCTACTAATGGTTTTCTCTCATTGAACAGTAGCAAAGAAAACAAGTACATTTTCAGAGGGTACACACTCACCTCAACACTACCATACTGGACTGCTGGTGGTAATGTATCAACATAAGCTGCAGGTCTGGGCAGAGGAGGACCATGAAACCAACCACTGATGGACAGGCGGGTCATGTTTTCTGATAACACTTCTGCAACCTGAAAGGAACAAAGTAAAGTGAACTAAAGATCCCTTTTCATGCCTTAGTCGCATCGGGCAAATGGGAAGAGCTCCCATATTTTTACAGATCAATCGGCACTAAGTGGGTAATGCAGTCAGCTTTACGCCGGCCATCTTTACTTCCCAAGGACATCCATCCTGGTATCCACTTTTGGCTGGGTTGACCGACCTGCAACGCCCTATACCATGATAAAATCCATGCAGCAAGCAGTGGGTTTCGATCATGGTATGTTGGAATTACGAGTTGGACTCGAAACGCCTAAGCCCTGGACGCCAAGAAAGGAACAAAGCTCCACATGTAATCAGTTTATTATAGTTGTATACCAGAAGTGAACTCCAGAATCAGGACTTTACTTCCAGCAAGCTCTTTAACCAAAAGTGACACTACCTGTCTACTCACCATGGCAACGTGCTATGAGCAACGCATGGAGTTCACAGAATCCAGCTTCTAGAGACCCCATATATTTGGGGTTTTGAAAAATATCACTTGCATTATCATCAACATCAAATCCCCCGTGTGGGTTCCGGGGCCCCATTGTGGGGAAAACAAGAATAGACCCACTGCCTCCCCAAAAGCATGTCGCAAGAGTCGACTATTTGGGGAGCTTCCTTTGAAGTGGGAGTGCATCTGCCGGAGAGGCAAAGAACCAACAGTCTGTATTCAGGAGAATGAGATCTGTAAAACTGATGCACACGCAACACTCAGGTTCTGGAGCAGGACTGCAGTTCAATAGTGGACGAGCAACCAGAACTTTCCGCCAGAGTGTACAGATGGTGAACGTGAAGAAGATCAACATCAAATGACTCCATGCAATCTTATCTGCAAAGGGAAGGCAGTGGGTCTATTCTTGTTTTTCTCCACAATGGGAACCTGGAACCTAAATGAGGATAATTTCTTCATATCTGAGGGAAGCTTTTTAAAGACAGTCACCAATATGCAGAAGGAGGAGACCAACTTCCTTTTCAGTTTCAAGGATACTTTCCTGTGATAACCACTGGATTACCACCTTGCTGATGTGGAGTCAGGAGAAGGATTGTGGAGTTCACCAAAACCAGCAGTGACAGATAATCATCATGTGCCCTGCCGACCGGCGTAGGCGTTCATGCATCTCCACAGATCTCTGTCCCGTGTTCTTTGGATCAGTTCCACCGATGTTATCCTTCCATGCCACCGTCCCAATCCATACGTCATCACCTCTCTTGGCTGCCACTTCCTCTTCTACCATTGATCTTCCCAATTGTTACATTCTCCAAAGCCTCCCCTCTCATCACATGACAAAAGAACAGTGCTTGTCTTTTCCTTACAGGTGTATACATTGATTTGCTTTCATTAGCTTCCTTCAAGCAATCTTGGTTAGTTACTCTGGCAGTCAAAGGGATTCTTAACATATGTCTGAAAAATCACATCTCTGTCGTTTCCAAGGTCTTTCTAATTTGTGCATTCAAATTTGATGATTCACTACCATACAGCAATATAGGTTCTACATAACATACATTTTAGTACTCTCTTTCGGACATACAAAGAGAGGGGTCAGTTGCACAAGATGTTTTTCATTCTGTGAAATGCAGCCTTAGCCTGGCCTATTCTGCTCTTAATTTCTGACAGATAAGTGATTTTTTTTTTTAGGGACCCAACGATTTATGTGATATGATTATCACAGAGGTTCAGGGCTCTCATCCTGATCCTCTGGTACCTGGCAGTGTCAAGTTAAAGTATAATTTACAGGAAAGTGCATGCTGTGTGCTTAGTAAACTTGGATTCACAGAGACCCAGTTCCTCATTCTGACATTGGGAGGAGACTGGTGATTAGGGAAAGTCATTCCTAACAAGATAACCAGTGTTGCGAGCTGATTTGGGTAAAGTGTGATATTGTGTGAAGGGACAGTGGTATGCCAGTACTTGCTGTAAGTTCACGCGGGGAGTAGTGTCAACATGGTCCGAGTATTGAGAGGAGACCAGTGAAAATGTCTATTCATGAACAATGCGTGCACGCACGAGAGAAAGTGGACGCGTGGGTTACTGTGTGGGGGGCTGAAAGCATGGATAACAAAAAATGAATTAAGTGACAGCGTGATTCTCAGGTAACATCAGCTACCCACATAAGTGTGATTCTCGAGAACGCTCACATGAGCGTGAGTCCTGAAAACACCCACAGGATCATGATTCACGAGAACGCCCATACGAGCTTGACTCTCGTGTAGACATCATCCACCTACACGGATTTGACAGGGATAAATTGGGCTGCGTAGACGGTCCGGGGAAGTAAGCTGTGGCCTCGGAGGGAATCGAGGAGCAGTCGAGACAGAAGCGAGAAGAGAGAGAGGAATCGAGAGTCAGACACCAAGTCAGGGTCTGTGATATCTCTCGCGAGTCTAACAGACTAGAATACCGTACGACTATCAGGCATTTAGGTCTGAGTGAGTGTCGAGGTTGCAGTACTAAGAAGATATGGTCCCGCTGGCAAAGTAAGTCCAGAGGACCGAAGGCCAGTAGTACCTGGTTTCGGAGTACGGCAAGAGGAGTCCGTCTCCAGTCAGCCATGTTGTATGCTGAAATAATATCAGGGTCCAGTGAATGGGAGAAGTCGTCCTGTTCAGCTGTACAGAGCGTCCAGAGTGTGGGACGCTGTAGTCCTTGGAGCTGTAGTAGTCAAGGAGAGACCGCTACAGACTGAGAGAGCGAGTGAGGACAAATGGACGATGTGCGAATGTCAACTGTGATCAATAACTACGTCTCTGCATTTGTGTCTTGTATCCTGTGAAATAAAAATGTATGACGGTGTCATCGGCGTCGAGTCCTATTTCTAAGAGAGGAAGCGGAAGAGTACCTGCTAGACACTTGGCAGTGTGCTGACTACGGTTAACTCATTTAGCACACAGCAACCAGTCTGTCTGAAATGACAATTTTTCATTTTTGAGTCAGTGCTGTCCTATTGTGTCTTCTCTTTTCAAGCCACTAGAGCTAGTCTTGTCCCTTGCATAATTACATATTATCCATTTTATCAGAAAAGATTAAGCAATTCTTTAAATTTTCTTCCAGTTGGAAATGTTTGCTTCGTTGTTATTGTCAATCAGTACTTTGTTTACTGGCAGAAAACAGTCCAATCAGTACTTGTTTGCTGGCAAAAAACAAAATCCAATCAGTCAGGGGGCAATTGCATAAGTAATGAGGATGCTAGCCAAGTTGGCGCATGAAAGGTGTGATATATGTATTGTTGCCAATGTCTGAGTTTCCTCACCCAAAAGGAGGCATCGGCTGGGTTTGATGATCTGGAGAAATCCCCAGCAGACCAATACAACAAGGCACTAATGCAACATTTCTGCTACCCTTGAGTGTCAGGATTTCCATATCCTATCCTAAGGAGGGGCACCATAACCCATTATGTGACAATCATCTTGTTGTGTAAGACATAGTATTAAAATTTAGGAGGCCTTTTGCAAAACATTACTTTCATCATGGCTCCCTGGAAAGATTAAATCATTGATCAGTTCCTATGCATCAAGAGCTTCTTCTTTTTCTTAGCGTTCATCGATTGTAAACACCGGTGTAAAGTTTGAGTTGTTTGTCCACTTCTGAACTTTGGTCTTAACCCAAGTTTTGTGTGCACATCCATGTTACAAATCTGGCTTATTTGTATACAGACTGTTGGTTCCTCGCCTATTAGGCAGATAACTCTGACTTAGAAAAGAAACATTCCCTAATTAGTCGCAATATGCTTGAATTTTTATATGTGGGGTGGGGTGGGGGGGAGAGAACTGTGTCAATTCTTTTGTTTCCATTAGGGTGCTCTGAAAACTCATACTGGGATAACAGGTAACGTTGAACTGAGCACCTTTGGACACACTTGAAAAATCTCTCAAATTTACTATGAAATGAGCTTACCTGATGGAAGGATGCTGCAGACACCTCAAAGAACAGGAAAGAATTCCTTTTTGGAACAATAGACTTGACAATGTTTTTTGGCTGACCATGTTCTGAAGAAGTAATGAAAAAAATGTTAAAGGCTTAAAGAAACATGAATAATCTTGTATTCCTCTTTCAATGCTGCCTTCTATGCTTCACTTAATCCATTTCTACTTTAGTGTTTTAGAGCCATGGGTTTAATCCACTGCGGACCATAAACTGGGATGTCATCTCAAGGTCTCTTGGGTTACCCCAATGCTTAGCTGTCAGGTCTAGTGGGTGTGGCTTCGCAGATATGTCAAGAGAGGACGGTCTTGTGTGACATGTTCAGGAGTCTGTTCAGAACGAAGACACTGGCAGAGAGCTGTCTGGCTCATACCTAATTTATATGTGTGTTTGTTGAGTCTGCAGTGTCCAGCCTCTGACTTGTGACTTGGTCTGCTCTCTTCATGTGTTTTGAGGAAATACTATTCATGGTTATAACCTGTATTTGTTTTTCAATCTCATTTGTTTAACTTCTTAACCATACATTTTTCACATAACAGAAGATAAGGATGTCTCTTGAACATGACCTTCAAGATCACCCTTCTACAAAAATGTACGCTGCCAGACAATTTTAAATAGGCGCAGTGCACAGGTGAAGCAGGTGGCATAGTTGAGTTTCAATAACCAATATCACAGCAATCAGGACATTCACATTAAGTGCTCCGACCCTATATTCAGCAGCCAGTAAAGAGTTCCAACGCCCTTGGTTTAAGTAGCATCTGATTGTATGTCCCTCTTGCCTTTCCTCTAAGTGTGCAGTCTCAGTCAGATCCCTGGTCACTCCCTACTGCACCACTCTCTTCATCTTGTGATAATCTTGGTGTATTTCACAATTAAACTCAAATTCAATTCTTGATTTAACCAAAACGATATCTTTTAACAAAGAAGACAAAAACAATAGACTGCAAACATTTACTGCCTGGTATATTTCGCTGTATCTCGTCAGGTGCATACTACACTAACAATTGCATATATGAAGCAAATAAGTAAATCCTTTATAACTAAAGTAAAAATATCAAACGCAACTGCCTGTTTTACCAGAACAGCTGCAGAGTCAGAATAATGTCCTTTTGTTTTCAAAGTTCAGGAAGCAGGTGACAAATCGCATTTGTTCAAATCTCCAACAGGAAAACATTGCTTTCAAAATGATGTCATTGAATGCCGCTAAAAACATCAACAACAACAAAACACACACACAAACCATCAGTGTCAAATAAATCCAGGGTTCCTCCATCATCTAGAGACCATGACTCAGGCACAAGGTAATAAATGAAAGCAATTCGTCTCGCCTCCAACTCATCATCATGGCACAGCAAGACATCTGTTGAAAATAACCACAAAGGAATCCAGACAATGAACCGACCGTCTGAGAAATATTTTCTTGATATATTCTTCCAATTCTCAGTTATGTTCCTGTTTCATTGGTTACTCACTTTCCTATACTGTTTTCCAATAAAATATTATCAGCAATAAAAAAAATGTCCTCTCTTTCGTGTTCACCATCTGTAAAGTCCAATGGAAATTTCTGGTTGTTCATTCAATCCTGGACTTGTAGTCTTGTTCCAGACGATGATTTTGTTATGTACTTCTGTTATTTAATCTGACTTATTTGTATGCAGACTGTTAGTTCCTTGCCTCTTAAGCAGATGCACGCCGACCTCGAAGGAAATACTTCATTAGCTGAATCTTACGCCATGCTTGTCAGGGAGGCTGTGCATCTATTCTGTTTTACCCCTACACTGGAGCACCAAAACCCAAAAAAAGGAAATATTTTTCAACCTGTGTAAAATGATTATTCTTGAAGGTTTATCTGGGAGTTACCGGGTTCTGACCCCTATCATCATCATCATGTGCCCTGCCAACTGGTGTATGCGCTCATGCGTCTCCACAGATCACGATCCCTGGTTGTCTGGAACAGCTCTCTTGATGATATCCCTCCATGCCATCATTTCAGCACATCCAGCATCATCTCTCGTGGTCTGCCTCTACCCCTTTTACCACTGATTTCTCCAGTTGTCTCAATGTTTTCCAATGTCTCTCTTCTCATTATGTGGCCAAAGAAGAACAGGGTTTGTCTCTTTCTTATTCTTGTATATAGAGATCTACTTTCATTAGCTTCTTTCAAGCAATCGTTGTTAGTTACTCTGGCCGTCCAAGGTGTTCGTAACATTTGTCTCAGAAACTACATCTCTGCTGCTTCCAAATTCTTCCTAATTTGTTCACTGACCCCTATGGGTTTCCAAAACTAAAGGGTTGAGGAACTGAATACTAAAATGGCACACAGTTGATTAAAGTTCTGAAAGTGACCTACCTGTGTATCGATAGTGTGAACAAAACAGATCAATCTTAGAGTTCAGTGGGATCTCCGTCACATGTGACAAGAATACTTTAATATCATCACAGAGAGACCTAAAGAAAAATTAGTTTTACTCAGTATTGCTGCAAATAACTAAGGGAAAGTCATTGCTGGTTGTGAACTTTGAAAGACTCGAGTTTTAACTCTCTTGGCGCCTCATGCGTTCATTGGGCTTCTAGGCAGTAACCTATGAACGTATGATGCGTTCCTTGGGACTCAAAGAGTTAAGTCTGAATCACTGATGTTCAAATCATAAAAGCCTTGAAAAAGGTGTGACGCTGGTATGGAGACTTTTCTCCCTGAACCAATGCCAAAAAATACTTTCTCCAAATAAAGTGTGGTGGAGAGCTGTCAGTCACTTCTCCATGTTCAGAAACCAGTGTAAACAGCAAGACTGCTAACTGAAACTTGACATAAATATTAGACAGGACATCACCAGTTCATGATTCATAGATATCAGCATAGGATAAAAATATGGACTGTCAGCTGGGGATAGAACTGCTGTGACTAGTCCGAGCGGTGAATTGTCTTTACAGATACACACAGGACCTCATGACAGCGATCACAGCTCGTTGTGTTCGGTTTCTTTCTTTTTGAAAGATAGAACCTAGGAGGTGTTGTAAGCAACACCTCATGACAGCGATCAGCAGAGGGAGTTTGGGGTGGCTGCTGCATCAGATGACTGAGCACCCATAAGAAAGTGCACTGATGTCAACTGTGATAACATAACAGGGTCTAGTCTGGTAGCCTTTTTTCAACATTTTTTTTAGATATTTCACGGTCGGGTTCCAAGCCAGTGCCCAGAAGGAAGCTGGAAGGAATAAGAAAATTAAATCGTCCTCTTTTTCATGAAGGTAATTTTTAATGTTACAAGAGATTGTCATGAGGTTGCGATGAACACAGAAAATAAATGGCTTAAGGATAAGGACTCTCTGTGTATGTTCCAGGTTACCATTTTTGGGTAAAAAATAACAGATCCACTCGCCCCCTCCTCCACAAGCAGGTTGCAAAAGTTAATCAATAAGAGGTGTTTCCTTGAAATTTGCCTTGAAACAAATAAGCCAAATCTATCAAGCAGATGTGCATGCAAAACTCAAGTTCTGGAAAAAGTCCAAAGTCCAGAAGTGGATGAACAACCACAACTTTCTGCCTGAGTTTACAGCCAGTGAATAACAAAAAGAATCTTATAATAATAAAAGAATATAAGGGTTATTGTAGCTAAATAGAATTCAGCAGCAGACAGAAAATACATGTTGCTTTCTATATAACTAATATCAGATCCCACCGCCACATACACAAGTCAGTCATCAAGATTTTTATATGACCATATTTATTTACTATCTTTGAAGTTTCATGTCTTTGGTGGATTCATTCCTTTGTTAATATATAACATTGAATCATATACATGTTTTTTAAAATTATGAATTTTCTTGTTCTTTATGTTATTAGTATAGAACCTAATGTTTCTCATTCTATAAATGCATTTACAGAAGTCCATACACCTGGGCTGCCCCACCCGCTAACCAGACATTTCACATTCATGACTATATAACCCACAGTCATTCATCCAATAAGCATGTAGGTCTACCGTAGGCTTAGGGTTTTTTAATCGAGGTTGTCTCCTCTAGATTCGTTTTGTTTTGTGCCTCTTTGGTCACGCACAACGGTCTTGACTGTAGACCGGTTTTCTTATCAGTGCAGCATGTACTGATGAGAAAATGCAAAGTTGGTGCTAGCAAATTGCCACAATGATCTTGGAAGTGTTGGTGAAGAAGGTTGCTGTGAAGAAAAAAAGGAACAAGAAAGAGAAGGAGAAGAAGAAAAGGGGGGAGGAAGAAGGTGGATAATGAAAGAAGAAGAAGAAGAAGAAGAGAAAGTGGAGAAAGATAGGAGAAGAAGTAGGAGTACCTGACCACATAATATTCAGACAATTATAATACCTGAACAATGTCAAAGCCTGAGATTTGCTGTGATTCAGATCGTTACTCTGGTGGGACAGAAACAGGACAAACCATTATTTGAGGTATGGTGATATGTTCAATTTTCTAGTCAAATATTAACAATAAATAATATGTATATGCACAAAGACACTGTTCTTCTACTTCTTTGCGTTCACCAGCTGTAAACTCTGGCAGACAGTTCAAGTTGTTCATCCACTTCTAGATTCTGAAGGACCACGAAGACACACTGAATGTGTATTTTTATTTTGTGCTGTTATATCTGATTAAGTTAGAAGTATGTTCTGAAACTGTAATGTGTTTCATTGAATTTCTCTGTGAATCACTTTTATTTTTACTCATGTGGTTTTGTTTGGTTTATGTATTAGCTGATGAAGGATCTTGAGCATTAATGTTTGGCTTGTTTTTGTTATATTGTGAAGCTCACTGATCTACTTTTCATTCAGTCTTATATCTTGCCATCATCATCCAACGTTGTGTCATTATGAATCACACTCACACAGGCCTCAAGAGTCTAGATCCCAATCTATTCTTTTCTGTGCATCCTATCGATATCATGGACAGAATCCGATGCGGACCCTTGGCCTCTATCAACTTTTGTCTTATGGTTTCTCTTGGACATCCTAGTTTTCTCAATCCATTTTTCCATATTTCTAGACTTAAACTGATAACCAAGGCGCAAATAATATGTAATGGGCAAAACTATAGGTTATATCATATACAACATCAGTGCCCATTTGTAGCTGTTTCGACCTGGGATCTGAACTCATGGCCTGCTGACCCACAGGTGAGTGTCTGGCTGCTACACCATGATGGCTCCCTTGAATGTATGTGTGTATATGCATATGCATATATGCAAACACATATACGTGCATTCCAACATGGGCCTGCAGATGTGAATTTTATGTGTAGGTCTATATATGTGGGTGTGTATAGTAGATACCAGCCCCCTGCCCAATAACCCTCACTAGGTACTAGAGTACCGCTCCAAGCCACTAGTTTTGGTACAATTTACATTTCTTAGCCAACATATTGGCATGAAGAAACCAGACCACAAATATAACCAATACTGCTCATTTTTTTTAAAAATGTTTTTCACAAATGGATGGATGTATGGAAGTGCCTGTATAGTGATTCTCTTTCTGCTTCTCGTGAAGGGTCACTGCATAATTGCCAATGAAAAATGTTTGGAAGTAAAAAAAAATTTGAAATAATAAACTGCAAATATTTAATTCTAATGTCAAATCAGTTCTACTCTATGGAGCGGAAATATGGAGAACTAAAACAATTACTAATAAACTAAGAAAATATTCACTAATAGTAGGATAGAATCACTAATGTGGAGCTTTAGGAGAGAACAAATTTCAGTGAATCAAGAGGTGAAGAAAGATGCTGGTGTTGGATAAATCGCACAATGAGAAAACCTGAGAACAATATAACTAGAACAGCTTTACATTGGAACCCACAGGTGTACAGAAATGAAAAAAAGACCAAAACATACACAAGAAGAATGGACTAGAGAATGGAGTTGAAAAAATAAGGAGGACATGGGTGATCTGCTTGCAGTAGCAAAGGATAGGATGACTTTGTAGATTTCTGACAGTGTATTCTTCTTCTTCTTTGCGTTCACCAGCTGTAAACTAAGGTGGAAAGTTCTAATTGTTTGTCCACCTCTGGACTTTAGTTTTATTTTTGAAACTGAGTGTTGCGTGCACATCTGCTTAACAGATCTGACTTATCTGTGTGCAGACTGTTGGTCACTTGCCTCTCAGGCAGATGCACTCCAACTTTAAAGGAAGCCCCAAATCACTCGACTCTTACTAAATTCTTGCTGGGGAGGCAGTGGGTCTATTCTTGTTTTCCCCACAATGGGGCCCCAGAACTCACAAGGGGAATGACAGTGTACTAAACTGCTTCATCGGACATATTGTTGGAGCCTCTTAACAGTACCTAAGACTTTTGGTGGTAACATTACCAATCTAGACCTAACTCCTGCCACCTGTATGCGCTGCCTTAAATCAGTTCTTCTTCTACCCTTACTCCTCCATTTGGGAATATGCCCTTGCCCCTTTTACCCCAATGACCTAGGGGGGAAAAACAAGCCCCTGTAATCTCCTGGTTTTTTTTTCTTTTCTGTGGGGGAAAAAACATTATAAAAACAACCACTTTACACACGTGCCCCCATCTCCCCCCCCCCCCCCCCAAAAAATACCAAAGAAAACAGCAAAGAATCAACTGGCTCAAATCTTTAGGGGAATGTAAAATAATCATCGCATCACTTATTTGACCATTTGACCTCAACTAGTATTAACCTGCCTACTAACGTGCAAGAAAACTTTAACTCCTCACCTGCCTGAATTTATACAAATCATTATTTTTCTCCTTAAGAGGCAAATCAAGCAGGGCAGATTCAAGATCAGCAATATAGTCACTGTCAGTAACAAAGTTCGGCAAGATACAGTGATGAAAGGGGGAACAATAAAGCTGCATGCCTGAAGTACCTGTGAAAACATAACACATACAGATGTCCAACATTATTATTATTGCCTTCTCAAGCCTCCCTTGAAATAAAATAGAACAGACCCCCCCCCCCCCCCCAGTTAGCATCTCATACAAGTCACCTCATTAGTTTTTCTGAAATCTTCTTCTTCTTTATGTTCACTGGCTGTAACCTGCTGCACAAATTCTGGTTATCTCTTCTTCGTGTTCACAAGCTGTACATTTTGGTGCAAAGATGATGGTAGTTCGTCCACTTCCGGACTTTAATCCTGTTCCAGAACTTAAGTTGTGCATGAACATCTTGTTTCACAGATCTGAATATCTGTAGGCAGACTGTTGGTTCCTCGCCTCTTAGTTAGATGCACCCCAACTTCAAAGAAAACCGGCCTAATTAGTCTACTTTTATGACAAACTAATTAGGAGAGCAATGGTTCTGTTCCCCACCCCCCTTAAATGAGGGCCTTGGAACCCACACAGGAATTTCTGATGTGATAGGTTGAAAGGCATGGATATCACAGCTTGGCTGTAAACCACAAACAGTATGCCAACATCCTGTCAAGCACGAACACAAAAGAAGAAGATAAGAAATCAAGCAAGATAAATAGCGGGGGATAAACAAATTGTTCTTTATAACAGAAATTCTGAGATCGCACTGCAGTCTACTGATAAATTTATTGCTTGGCACATTTTGTAGTACGTTATCAGAGGCTCACTACAGAATTTACATCGACATGCAGTAAAACATAAAACATTGCTCCTTTTGACTAAAATATGCAAATCACAGAAGCATGGAGAACATGGTTTCAGAGACGAAGTTAAATATATACCGTGAACAGCTAGAGTGACCATCAAAGATTGTTCAGAAAAATTTCATGAAAATATAGTAGAACTCAGAAAATAACTTTCTGCTATAGGAGTTTTCTTTGGTCCTGTGATGAAAAGTAAAAAAATAACTCTCTACTATAGGAGAGTTCTCTTTGGTCATGTGATGAAAAGTATTGGAGAACACTGTGACAGGAGTGTGCGCACAGCCATCTTAACAGAATTATGGGCCCCTGGACAAACCAGTGTGCTGAGGCCCCTCTAATAACCACTCACTGTAGGTTAGGTGCTGCATGATCTCAAGGTATGGCATCCCCCTCAAGTGCTGGAAGTCCTGGGTTCTGGCCCCGGTAAAGGCTGGGATTTTTCAATTTGACTTCTAGTAATCTCCCCTGGTCTCTAGATAGTAACAACCGGATGCCCATGTGTATTGTTGCGCACGGAAAAAATTTCTTGGCAGTTGGAAATCGAAAAGAATAGCCTAACGATGCTGCCCGGGCAAAATTTGAAGTTGATAATTTAGCTTAAGTATTTCAGGATCCTCGCCGGTGCAATAGAGTCTGTGCACTGCGCTGAGATACTTTTAACTCAGCCCTGAGTTAAAAGTATAATGGATCACTTATGGGCGGCACCAGTGTGCCATGATGTTGATTCGTTGACTAAACAAAACTAAACTAAAAGACACAGGAGTTAAATGTGAATGGTCAATAATATTGATTTATTAAACATATTTTTATTTTGTCGGCTCTGTGGCTAAGTCGATGCGAATGCTTTGTAATGCTGGGTTCGATCCCAGCTGCGGGCCATGCGCTTTGCTTTGGTTTCGACAGTGGTATCAAGAAAGCCGACCATCCACAAAGCAATAGCTAACTACTGGACGTAAATTTGCCTAGAGAAACCACACAACAGCTAGGGGCTGCTGGAATTGGTTCTGTAATGTCCTGTAAAGGATACGCAACTAACCTTTATTTATTTTACTGGCACTTAAGCAAAACTGGTGGGAGGAAAAAAGGCAGGGGGTGGGGGAGTGTATAATTTTAGTTTTATAATACACTGAACTAATTTAAACATCAAAGATACTTTTGTTTCTGGCAAGTCACTTTCCATACATCGGACCCCTATGCCTGTCTATAAAATATAGGTCTAGCCCTATACACCTAAAGGCGTGGAAAAAGGTCTTTTACTTTTACTTTGCTATATACTTAAACAAGGGTCAGATCTTTTCAGCATCTCCCCCCCCCCTTCCCCCCACAGAAATTCACTGGGGGGCTGAGCTTAGCACTTCCCTCTCTCCTCTCCCTTTTGTTTCATGTTTTCTTTTTGTCTGTGCTATTGCACTGTAATGTGAGGCCAGACAGGATCAATGGTAGTAGAGGCAGATGAGATTAATATTTCTGAATGATCTGTGCGTTGACTGGTTGTAAACTCCAGCGAAAAGTTCTGGTTTTTGGTCCATTTCTTCTGAACTTGAGTCATCTCAGGCAGATGCACTCCAACTTTAAACGAAGCTTCCGAAATTAGACTTATACAACATGCTTGTTGGGAAGGCAGTTGGTCTATACTTGTTCTCCCCACAACGGGGCATGGTAACTACATGGTGACTGAATGATCTAAGAAGGAGTACCATTAACAGAAAAAATTAGGAATAAAATTGTCAAAGACCTACTAAATAACACCTTCTGGCAGGGCACTTAATGCTGATTACTGTCTATTATAGTTCATTGGCTGTAAACTCCAGTGAAAAGTTCTGGTTATTTGTCCACTTCTGGACTGCAGTCCTTCTATTCCAGAACCTGAGTACTGCGCGTGCATCCGGTTGACAGATATGACTCATTTGTATGCAGACTGTTGGTTCCTTGCCTCTCAGGCAGATGCACTCTGACTCCAAAGGAAGCTCCCAATTAGTCGACTCTTACAACATGCTTTTGGGGAGGCAGTGGGTCTATTCTTGTTTTCCCTACAATGGGGCCCCGGAACCCACACAGGCAAATACGGACACAAATAATACGTAGAACTCCGACTAACCGGCCGTCTATTGTTGTCTACCGGCCGTACTTGACAGGAGAGCCATAATAATAATAAATTAATAAGTTAGTTACCATCACAGAAATCGTTTGAATCTTTGTAACACTTCTGTAGCTCTGTCTGGATTTTAGTAGAAAACAGATAAGTGTTCAAGTACGATGCAGCTTTGTTTAATTTTTGTGAAACTGCATCAACATCAACTACATCCACGGACAGCTGCTGTGGTGAACCGCCTGGTATAACTATAACAACTTCCGGTTTATGGTCTCCACTCTTCTCGCAGTCAGTCGATGTGGAATTGCCGATATTATCACTAAAATCATATTTGGCTATTTTACTAGCAGGTTCATGTGCCCTTTCATCTGTTTCTGTGTTCATATTGGCTCTCTGATAAAATGCTAGCAACAGGTTACTTGAAGAATATAAGTTTGTGAAACTGTTTATCTTTTGGACAACGACCATGCCCTTTCGCTCTGGTTTATTTACGGAAATGTTTAAAATTGCGCGATCGTGGGAACGCTACGAAACGAAATAAATTGTGCAGACGATGAGGTTTGAACAACGGATCAACATCACAACACACGGGTTGTAACCCATAAGTGCTCCGTTCTTCTTCTAACACATGTCTGCCTCCGAAGAAGCTTAGCACTTTCTCTTATTTATTTATTCATTACGTCCTTCTTAGGACGTTATTTTTTGTTATTTGAAGCCCCACTCTGGCTTTTGCCAGGGGCCGCAATATAGGCAGGTCATCATTATGGCCAAATGTCTGAACGCGGTTTCTGGGACCTCTCCACGGTGATCCTCATCCGCATGGTGGCACTTTGTGCCATCGGGTGTTTATCGCTTGTGTGATGTCCTGGTGGGGTAGAAAGTCAGTCAGTCAGTCAGTCAGCTTAGCACTGTGCACAGGCTCTGTAGCACCGATGAGGATCCTAAAATACTTTAGGAAGATTTTTAACTCCAAGTTTTGCCAGGGTAGCGCCGTTAGGCTACTCTTTTCGATTTCCAAATGCCAAGGGATTTTTTACGTGCACCACAATGCACACGGGCGTCCGATCTCATTACCCAAAGACCAGGGGGAATTACTACAAGTCCAAGTCCACATGAAAAAATCCCAGCCATTACCGGGGATTGAACCCCGAACCTCTAGCAAAGTAAACGGACACCATGCCTAGAGACCACGCAGCCCTAAGACGATGTCATCAAGCAAGTATGTGATTGGCACCATTCCATCTGTCCAGACAATAGTGTTACATTGCGCTATGAGTAGGCATACACGTGGAGCTTAAGTCTCCACATAAACTCCACATACATAGTCCAGTACATGACTAACCCGTTCATATTACAGGAAGCAACGGTAAGACCCCTATGGTCCCAGACTCACTCACAGCCCATGGCGAGTGTGACTAGCAAGAACAGTCCGTGTTAAGGCCAGGGATGAAGTTTCTCCTCTCCATAGCACAAAGTCTGGGCAGTATTGATGAGACCATATGTTGCCCATGCATAATGATCCTTCTCTCGACTTGCCTTCTTTACTCCAAAGGAAAGGTAAAAACCAGTACGTTTGGAACAAGGCAGGCTGCAGAAGCTGTCGGATCAGAAGAGCAGTGCTCTATCCGTCCGCATGTCGGAACTTCCCTCCTAGACCAGCTGCCATCCATGGCAAAGGGCCTGGTCTGCCCTGCCATAACATAAAGTTTTCAGGTTGCATTTCCTCTTCCTAGGATAAGGGTAGTATCCTCCCCAATGCGCTCCTCCACCCGAGGCCGTTGGCACAATATGGGATGTTGGGTTAGTATACGCCGCCCTACATTCAGCGTAACTGAAGACAGGTGACACCGGCTACTGTTCTGTAGCTCAGTCATATCTGACCAAGACCTGATTGATAATTCACAGCACATTAATTGACACCTTTCTTGGACATCCACCCCATGTCTATTTATTCAGAACATTAAGAGGTTGTGGCAGCTGGGCAGCTCACCACATCCTCCCCTCGAAAAACTCCTTCTTACAAACTAATAACCAATAACCAAAATCACCACCGCGATGGTTGAATTCGATCAAATATTTTTGTTTCTGGTTCAAACGAAAGGAGGGGCAGAGGTAGGGGTTTGCGGATGAAATGCTATTTCTGACGTGATGTATACGTTCTTTTTTAATAATCTCTATCGTCCTTTTCAGGATGAAATTTTTTATTTGAAGTTCCACCCTGGCTTTTGCCGGGGGCCGCAATATAGGCAGGCCATAAATGTGGCCAAATGTTTGAACGCGGTTTCTGGGACCTCTCCACGACGATCCTCATCCGCATGGTGGCACTTTGTGTAATCGGGTGTTTGTCGCTTGTATGATGTCCTGGTGGAGTAGAAAGTCAGTCAGTCAGTCAGTCAGTCAGTCAGTCAGTCAGTCAGTCAGTCAGTCAGTCAGTCAGTCAGTCAGTCAGTCAGTCAGTCAGTCAGTCAGTCAGTCAGTCGTTCTTTACTTAAGTTCTTTAAGGCTGCCCTTGATGCCATTATTCCATATTTTATGTGGTCTTTATCAGAAAGAGACAGTCATCATTTTGACTGACTGACTTTCTACCCCACCAGGACATCACACAAGCGACAAACACCGGATGACAGAATGTGCCACTATGCGGATGAGGATCAACGTGGAGAGGTCCCAGCAACCGCGTTCAGCCTTTAGGCCATATTTATGGTCAGGCTATATTGCGGTCTCTGGCAAAAGCTAGAGTAGGGCTTCCAAAAACGGAAAATTTCATCCTATAAAGAACGGGAAGTGTAATGTATCATCACTTTTTGGTCATGTTATGAGAAGATGGAAACTAGAAGATTAATGGACATGGGAGTGCAGCCTGAAGCTGCAAGAAATGAACATTTCCCTAAGGGGACAAGACGTTTCATTAACCAACACAGAGCAGGCGTCATCAGTCGTTTTACTGAGGAGGAGGCCGGAGCACCTATGAATCTGCCCGGAGTGATGTGATGATAATCCTTTCTAATCACTAATCACTGCTGGTGAAGAGTGGTTACCTGTGCCTCCTTTTCTTCTATTGTCACGCTCGACAGAAGATGCAGGGAGCGGAAAGCTGTTGTGGTCAATGCAGAGGTCAACTCCCTCATCAGCGATAACTCAGACGAAGCAGATGTACAGATATACATAGACAGATCTGTTATACGACAATAAAGAAGTGCATGGGCGTTTAAAGCACGCATAGCGGGCAGAACAATCAAAGAAGTCAGCGGTGCCTTCTCCTTGACAACAGGCACCATGACGACGGAGGTAACGCAAGCATTCGTATGGCTAAGAACACAAGACTATACCTTAGCAATTCGATGAACATGATCAGGAAGGTAAAGACAGGTTCTGTGCGAAGGCAGTGGATTTAGCCATTACAGAAACCCACCGTGCGTAACGTCGTCTTTATCTTCGTTCCGGGATAGGCGGGAGTCGATGGAAACGAAAGGGCTGATTGGATCCGCTATCACTGCTGAAGGTCAAACTATGGATAATGCTGATACTAATATTGCCCTCAGAGAAGTGGAAAGGGTGGAGGACTTTCGAGACAACGATTCCACATCGCTCACTAGAATGAAAGACTAGGGAGTTGAGATCGGCATAGCCGAAAGCGAGAGACACACCGGGCAAACAAAAATACTTATCAATCTATAAAGAACTGGCACTATTAGTCACAGGACGCTGGGTTTATATTGAGGGAAGGATCTGAGCACCCATGGACACGTCCGGAGTGCAATGACCATATCCCAACTTGTTTCTTGCCGCTCGTGCAGATGCACCCCGACTTCGAATGAAGTTCCCCACTTAGTCGACTCCTACGACATGCTAGTTGGAGAGGAAGTGGCTTTATTCTTATTTTCCTCCATAATGGCGCTTCGGAACCCTCGCGGGGATTATGAAGACTGACTGTCGTCCTAGCAGAGCCAATAGCATATGTACGCATTTAATACATAATCATTCGTCAGAAGTGCATTAGAAATACAGTTTGTCCTCAGCAGAAGCAGCAGTTACAACATATATGGAATAATAATAATAATAATGGGCTGAATGACAAATTAATATAATAATATATTTTAATTAATATAAAATGTAGAAACTATTACTTAAAAAAAAAAAAAAGAACTTATGCACACGAATTCTGTGAGGGAGGGAGCATTTAACCCGTTGCAATTTGTCTAGGGAAAGCTGGAGTGTGGCTGTCCAACTCTAAAATTTACTGGAGGCGCTTAAACTAGTAAGTTCTGGCGCCTATGCTTGCAACCAACGTTTAGTGAGGATACGGCATCTAATTGATTCAACCCCTACCGCTATCTTTCCCCAGCTAATGTTAAGCACTCTTCATAGACATCAAATTTAAAATGATGACGTAAATAGGGAGAGACTGCAGTCGAGCTCGTTGCAAGAAATGCTAAGTATAACACAAAATATGACTAGCAAGCTCAGCGGAGGGAATGGAAAAGAGACACACAAACACAGCTGAACGTTTCGATCAGAATCTTTATCAACTGAGTACTAACTACAGGACAAACTGTGACTAGAAAACGCAGCAAGCAAGACAACAGGGTTAATAACTTTGGTTTTTGTATCAGTCCTGTTGTCTTTGTTGTTGAGTTTTCTAGTGATATACTTAGCATCAACTTTAAAAGCTGAGAAGCCGCTTCTCGTGGAGTTGAACGTTTTACCCTAATAAAGACAATTTTATTATTTTCTAACAAAATGTCATTTCCACGAATTCAAACGACTGTCTTTTTTTATTTACAAAATTATGAATAGTGCACAACAACATGTAGATGCACGTTTCAGAAGTTAGATAATATTAAAGTGTCTTTCTTATTTTGGCTCTTTGTTCCCTAATTTGGCTTGTCTGCAGTAGAGCTACCTGACCATGAGAAGAAGCGCAACACGCTGTTGATTTGTTGTGTCATCGATTTGGATCGTAGCGAGAAAATATCTCGTTTTCTTACAAAACTAAAGGTATTTTCCAATGTATACACTGGTCTTGTTGTTTTATATCAGTTCACATTCTTAACTTTGGAAATATAACGGTTTATATTCGGGAAGTTGACGTGTCACGTGAAACTAAGTCAAGACCGAACAGACTTCAGACTTGTTTACGTCGTCGGCCATTGATTGTATTTGTTGTGATATGTAGTGTATAAAATATTGAAATAAGGTACAATTTCTCACTATCCTTAACTGTAGTGTTGTGATTTATGTCACAGGCTTGAGGCAAATTATAGACCATCGTGAGGTTTATAAATACCCCGACTGTAAAACATCGTCTGGTCTCACTTGGTGCCAGCAAATTTTCTGCACGTAATCAAATCGCAAAACTCCAGCCATAGATTAGGATAGCGATAGATTAGAAGACAGTTTATGGCCATGATGATGGTGTCGACTGCTGTACTTAACAGCTAAATGGTCATTATATATTGTGTCTCAACCAAATTTACCCTGAATTTATGCCTATGATATTCAGTGAAACCGCAAAGTGTACAACTGACAGTGACAAGACGCTAGGGCTAGCAGTGTGAGTGGATTTCTATGTGAGCAAAGAATAAAAATCAGTAAATGTGACGCCCCCCCCCCCCCCCCCCCCAAAAAAAATAGACAGCTAATATGATGAGATGACATCTATCCAGCATTGAAAGTTAGATGTTAAATTAACAATCAACATCACAGCACTTCCATAGGCGCTCTGTCCCCATCTTCTGCAGCAAGCGAAGAGTTCAAGTTCTAGCTATCCTCCTAATAATGGCCACATATTATTGCGGCCAAAAACAAGGCCTCAGTCACATGTAAATTGCGGACTTCTGGCGACTATACTGCCACCACCGAAAGTATCTCCCATCTAAACTAGATGAGTGGGACTCACAAGCAAAGCTGCAGGAGATTTGAAAGCTGCTACTTGTGATTCTCAGCCATCTAGTTTAGCCCCAATCCACGTCGCGCGTAGCAGCATGGAAGATACTCTCGGCGGTGGTGGTATAGTTGCCGGAAGTCCACAATTAAAGTTGCCTGGAAGTCCGAAATTTACATGTGACTGAGGCCCTGTTATGGTTTTTTTGTGGCCGCCATAATATGTGGCCGTTATTAGGAGGATAGCCTAAGTTCTTATGGCTGCAGTAATTGTCTGATTGTACATCCATTTTGCCTTTCCCTTGGGTATTGAGCGTTGGACAGATCCCCTGGTAACTCCGCGCAGCACTATTCTCATACTGTAAGGATCTGTTTGAGCCTTCACACTGTTCACTCAAGAATTCCCTGGTAACTCCCCGCAGCGCCATTCTCCTTAGAACACAATGATCTGTTTGTGCCTCTACACTGTTTACTCTTACCCAAAGGCCCCTTGCAACACCAAGAAATGCAGAACCAGCCAGTCTATCAATCTTTCTCTTTCCCAACACACTGGCATCAATTGGAAAAAATATTCAACCGATGCTAACTGCTCGGGACCTCTGAACCAAAATTGTTAACATTAAATGATCAAAAAAGATATCTTTTTTTTGTGCAGTATGTAATTTCACTGTATTGTAATATACTTCTGAGGCAAATATTGAATGCATGGTAATCAGGTAATGACTGTAATATACAGTTGTGTTTGTGTTTACTACATTTCAGTTTAACATTTGCCAAATATGGGTCGCCGAAAGAAGGCAAATAAGCCGCCACCAAAGCGCAAGGCAATAATGCCACTGGACACACTGTTTAACTGTCCATTTTGTAACCACGAGAAGTCTTGTGAAGTAAAATTGTAAGTATCTCAGAAATGTTTTATTTTTATTATCTTTATCACAGCCAGGACTTTTGGTTTCTGGTGACATGCTGTTGGATTTTGAATTAAGAATCATCATCACAGCACTCGGGAGACACTCCCATAGGTGCTCAGTCCCCCATCTTCAGCAGCAAGCGAAGAGTTCCAGTTCTGATGGTTACAGCATCTGTCTGATTGTACACAAGTCTCGCCTTTTTCTTGAGTGTTGAGGGTTCACCAGATCCACTGGTAACTCCTCACAGGGCCATTCTCATTAGAACGTAATGATCCATCTGCGCCTCCGCACTGTCCACCTGTTTCCATGTTCTGATGACATGTAAGAGTTCGCAATACCAGCACATTTATTTAGGAATCATTCAATTTCAGCACTGCTGTAATAGACACTTTATGGTGAGTATGGCAAAGTCAAGACTCTTTTCCGCGTTTTCAGGTGTATTGGGAAGATAGGACTTACTAAGTGGCTCCTCTTCTACCTTGAGTTGCAGAGGTTTGCCACAGAGTTCGCCAGACTTCTCTATCTCAGCATTTTTTTTTTTTCTGGCTTTGTTTTATTCCAATCCTCTACCGGTCAGGGACTGTTAAATGTTGTCTTCCCGACCCTGGGTTACTCTGGCTGTCTGATATTACTGGTTGTTACCCTCCCATGCCTTTTTGGCTTGTTAGTCGCCGTTAAGATCGGTTCCAGATTCTCTTTGCAGTAACTTATAATCGTGGTTTTAGGCAAACAAGTCTTTTTCTTCTTCGCGTTCACCAGCTGTAAACTCTAGTGGAAAGTTTTAGTTGTTTGTCCACTTCTGGACTGCAGTCCTGTTCCAAAACCTGGGTTTTGCGTGTGCATCCGTTTGACAGTTCTGAAACATTTGTGTGCAGACAGTTGGTTCATTGTCTCTCAGGCAGATGCACTCCGACTTCGAAGGGAGCTCCCAATTAGTCGACTCTTACGACATGCTTTTGTGTAGGCAGTGGGACTATTCTTGTTTTCCCTATAATAGGGCCCTGGAACCCACACGGGATATGGATGTTTTGAAAGCAAGATGATTGACTGTTGTTTACTTTATCCTGTATCTTGTATGGATTGGCCTCTCAGCAGGGCTTCTGTTTGTCCTTAAGGAGCATCACACAAAGCACTTTAAACAGTTCATGGCTGAGACCTAGATACATACAGAAACATTGTAACCTTATTTATACTTTACAGTTTCTTCTTCTTAACATTCACCAGCTATAAACTCCAGCAGAAAGTTCTGGTTGTTTGTCCACTTTTGGGGTTTTGTTCCACATTTAGTCTTGTGCACGCAATCATTTTACAGATCTGGCTTATTTATATGCATATTATTGGTTTCTTGCCTCTCAGCAGATGCACTCTGATTTAGAAGGAAGCTCCCAATGAGTCAACACTTACAACACGCTTGTTAGGGAGGCAGTGGGTCTGTTCTTGTTTTCCCTGCAATGGGGTCCAGGAACCAGGAATAGACTTTAACTAATAGTCTGAACAAGACTATACATTTTAATTTGTGAATAATTGTGAGCTCTTGTTTACTTTTGGCAGACGTGCTGTGGCATATTGTCTTGTTTATTAATTTATTCTCTGTGCCTTTTTTCCAGAGACCGTGAGCGAAACACGGGTGTCATCACCTGCAACGTTTGCTTGGAAGATTTTCAAACCAACATAAACTGTATCCTTTAAAATAACTTGACGGGGGATTTTTCTTTTTTCTTTCTTCTTCTTTTCGTTCTCCCTGCTGATGAGTTTTAGATGAGACATTCACAAGGGCAAATGGAGGATGTGAATTGAGGTAACCATTCCCGTATAGCTTTGTGTCACTGTACTGTTGATTAGACTGCTCCCCCTGTGGGTTCCGGGGCCCCTTTGTGGAGGAAAACAAGAATAGACCCATTGCATCCACAACAAGCATGTCCTAGGAGCCGACTGTTTGGGCACTTCCTTCAAAGCCGGCGTTCATTTGCCAGAGTGGCGAGAAACAATCAGTTGCACACAAATAAGCCAGTAAAACGGGTGTACACGCGAAACCCAGAGTACAAATGGACGAACTAATGGATGAACAAAAAAAAGGAGAAAAGGATTGACAGCTTGTGGATCGATTGGATTACTGTGCTCTGGCTCTTAAGAGTAGTGATTGGCAGAGAGACCTTTTCTTCAGGCCCAGACTATGTTGTGTAGCCTCTTAAGATAGATGCCTTGACCTTTTGTTCCAGGTTGGGGTGGTCCTTGAAACTGAAGATTTGCCATGTAGGTTCCAGACCCCATGGGGGAGGGGGGGGGGGGGGGGATGGAGCCAATGCCCACTAACAAGTATGTTATAAAGGGCAGCAAACTAGGGGGAACTGCTGAAATTGGGTGTGTTCAGCCAAAAGGTCAACCCCAACAACAACACAGCATACCAGCTGCTTTTTTAAAAGTGATTGAAGAAGATGACGAACCTGAGGATTCAAAGCTGCATGGCTGGCACATTCAGCATGAATTATGCAGGTCAGGATTAATTCAGTAGTAATCAGTTTTACAAATGAATGTCCTTGACCTTAACTAACACCACAGACCTTTCAGAAGCAGTGGATGTCTACAGTGAGTGGATTGATGCCTGCGAGGCAGCCAACCAGTAGCAATGGTTCACGTGGTTTGCCACACTAGGCGAACCACACAGCCTTTTCTGTTTGTGTTCTCGATTGCTTGTTGGACTGAGCTGTGAAATGTTTTCTAATGTTTTCAACTGGCAGATTCTGTTGAGATTGACGGCACAAGTATCAATGTCAAGAGTCTAACAGTTTGTCTCCCTGCTGCCAGCATCTCTACAATACACGCCAGATGTGTAACCTCCTCACAGACAGAAGATAGTTTTAATTTGTGACTAAACAAGGATGGAATCTTAAGAGGTTACTTATTGTGGTTAGTCAGTTCCAGTGAGAGAGTATTTGTGAGAGCGATTGTCCTGTTTGTTTGTGTGAGTGGTTATCATGTTTGCTCTGACCGGATAAATGTGTTTGATTTGCTAGATTGTGCTCATTGCTTGTGTTGGGCTTGCTGTTGGCAGTGGTTTTTCTTTTCATGAAATAATAATCTGTTTTATTTGGTTGGAAGAATGTAGAAGTGTGTTACTGTTGCTTTGAACCTGAGAGCATTAAAAGATAGCTGTATCACTGTTTTGCTCCCCTTTACCATGTCAGTCTGGTATGGTAATATCTTATCAAGCTAAATATTTTGAATTTAAATAATGCGGACGCAACAATGATCATTATCTTGTTGTGCCATTATGCGTCACATAGAGCTCGGAGTCTGCTCCTGCCATAGAGGAATGATTGCAGGAAATGCACCATACATATTCTTTCTCCATGTCTGGAGATCGGAAGGTCGTGGGTTTGCTCCCTGGTGGAGCAGAACTTTTTTCAAAATGGCCAGGTCGACCCAGCCTTGAGTGGGTATCGGGTACAGTGCTAGAAAGCAAAGGCAGGCGGCGTTATGCTAATACTATCACCTATCTTGTGCTGTTGGTCTATAAAATATAGCTCTAGCTCTATGAACCTAGTAGACCTGAAAGGTGTGGAAAAGGGTCCTTTACTTTTATATCTGAAGGTTGCTTGCACTCTTGGCAGATAAACATAAATTACAGATGTTTGGGGGGGGGGGGGGGGTGGATGTCATGGAATAAATCATTCACAACAATGTACTTGTATGTTTCCTTGTGTTTACTGCTGCTGTGAGTCCCTGGTATTATGTTGGAGCCGCTTGTGTTTGTGAAATTATTAGCTTTAGCAGTGTAGACATTTATTCTGTATTCATCTAGTCAATTGTTGGATTAGGCATGCAGGGTGATCAGGAGGGTATTCATCAAGGCATTTTTACCCTAGCAAAGTGTCTTATAAAGGGGCCAGTACTCACCACATTGTCGATTACAGCAGTGCTGAAAACGAAATCATGTCCAAACAAAGTGCTGGTGTTGCACACTATTGAATACCACCGGAAAAAGACCCTGAGCATTGTCATCATCCTGTTGTACCTAGAGCATGATTTGGAGTTGATGAGGCCCTTATCTGTATAAACTCCTGAGGCTCTGCCATTTAAAATGACTTTGTTGATTTCAGAACAATTATATATGCCTTTTAAATTTATGGATAATAGAAACACATTGTCATTGAACTTTTAGGAAGAGAAATAATCTTCTTCTTGTTCGTCCATTCAGACTTTTGGCTTTGTACCAGGATTTGAGTTTTGTGTGCACATCCGTTTTACTGGCTTATTTGTGTGCAGTTCTTGTTCTCTGCCTATCAGGCAGATGTACTCCGACTTTGAAGGGAGACGTCTATCCTGTCTGTAGGACAACTGGCCATTGTTTCGTGGGTCATAATGTTGCCTCATTTGTGTGGTGTCTTCTTTGCCTACAAATGTTGCTCCTGGAGAAGCCCTTAGGGTGACCTCGTGTAGACTGGTTAGCCCTCACGGGAAGGCATGGGCAGATCATGGGCCATCCAAGGAGGTTTCTATAAATGCAGAGCTGAGGCATGACGCTCTGGTTCTGGGCTCACCAAAGAAATTGTCACGTCCTACACATGACTGCTTAACCTAACAACCGTATGTTGAGCTTTTCACTTGTTACGGACTGCACCCTCCAGAGATCAGCAGGGAGCAGCCTGCAGGTCCAGGACTCTAATGACCACACAAATAGGTACATTCTTCTTCTTTGCACATTGGACAACTGTAATGTTGTTTCAATTGTGCGCTTAGCACTGCAGAATGGAGAGGCACACATCAGACATGGCTTCACTGTTTCGGCTCAACACTCTGGCAAGTGGGCTGATGTATACGGACATTTGAACCTTTCTGTCAATTAGAGGGATTTATGACAGTCGGACATTGAGACTTTGCTTGTGTGCCATAGGATGAATCTGTATTGGACATTTGAGCCTACCCAGCTTGCTGATAGTGGCTGTTGCGGTGTACCTCAACGCGGTGACGACAATGTTGAGGGTTGACACGATGTATGTAGACAGGATTTTACTGCGAGAAACCGGCCACAAAAAAATGTTATTCGCCTAAGCTGCCGGCAAATCTCTTGGTCAAGGGCTGAGTCTCAGCAGTCCAGTTTTCTTTCGCTCAGCATACTTTTAACCGAGAGTTGTCATTTTAGTGGTACATTCAGCATTTTAGAATTGAGTTTTGATAGACGTTTTCACCCATGCATTTTGGGGGTGGCCTGATGTGAGCCAGGCTGGACACATCTCTGGGGACCACCAGCTTCGAGATCCCCTGCCAGCTCTGTTAATGCTGCTTTGAGACACTATCCGTGGCGCACGACCGGGACGTGAAGCAGGAGTCCCTAGGTGAGGTACGGAGTATCTCCGTATACACATCCCATCGGACTCACTTCCCCACCCCCCACGCATGTAACCAAAATCAAAGCGTCAGAAAAGAAATAATGAAGAATGTGTGCAACACGTGAGAAGCTGGACTGTCATTTAAAGAGCAGTTTTGTGAGGCGTCTGCAGATTGGGAAGTTCCAAGCTGTAGCTTATTTAACTTATGCTTAAATCCAACACTGGTTGTACCATTATGTCACACGGGGCTCCCAGTTTGTTGCCTCTAGTCGATTCTGTCCAGTGTAATATCATGGGTGGAATTCAGTCCAGCATCTTTGTCCTCTCTCATCCCTTGGGACGTCCTCTTTTAATCAGTCCATTTGTAACCCACCTCAGACATGCTACTGCTGCGAAAACATGGGCTCGGTGGCTTACACATTTTCTAGGCAAAAAGTGTGTGGGGAAAGGGGGGGGTGGGACAAAAGTGATATTGACTGCATCACCCATTGCATGTTGATTGGTCTACAAAAAACTCTAGCACATGATGCCACATGGGCCTATGGTGTGGAAAAAAATATAATTACTGATGTATTTTTCTGATATATTGTTTATGGCTGGAATTTTTTTTTCTTTTAGCATTCTAATGAGATGTCAAGCCAACAGGAATTGACCATTTGTGATTTTTTTCAGTTCAGCGTATTGGTTTTCAGTTTAGTGACTCATGTCGTTCAGTATTATTCTGGTTACTGCAGGGTGTGATTTGCTTTGAGAGCAGGAAGATGATGAATTTATGTATTTTGTGTGACTGTTGCAAGAAAGATGCTTCGATAATATACTTGGTAAAGGGACTATGAGCATATTAAAGGTCATGCTGCATGCTTCATCCAGTATTTGTGGGGTCAGGCTGGTATAACATAGTTTTTGGGGATTTATACAGGTAATCATTTACATAAATGAGAACTTCACACTTCTTTATTCTTGCAGTCACAGATTGGACAGCTTATCGTCCTAGGGAGGCTTGTCTTTTAGTCACAGAAGATTTTAAAACAACAGAATTACGTCTGACATTGGGACGCACAGTTAGTGCTATTAGTGAAGTGACACATACATAATCTTTCAATTACAGCCAGGTCAACAGATTATCAAAAGGGGGAGACACTAACAGATTTGACAACATTTTGGTTAACATTGAGTCACAACAAATTTTCCTATCTTCTCTTTTTCTTCTTCTTTGTGTTCACTGGCTGTGTCGTCCATCCACTTGTGGCCTCTAGTCCTGTTCCAGAACCTGAGTTTTGCTTACACATCTATTTTACAGATCTGGCTCATTTGTATGCAGACTGTTGGTTCCTTGCCTTTCGGGGAGATAGGCAGATGCACTCTGACTTCGAAGGAAGCTTCCAGTTAGTCTGCTCCTACTACATGCTTTTGGGTAGACAGTGGGTATATTCTTGTTTTACCTACACACGGATGTCTACTAGTCGACAGACAAGCCACGAGTAGCCCTCAACTCTAAAAAAAGCAGGCCACTAGTGGTGTGATATATATTCTTGTTTTACCCATACACGGGACAGACAAGCCACGAGTAGCCCTCAACTCTAAAAAAAAGCAGGCCACTAGTGGTGTGATATATATTCTTGTTTTACCCATACACGGGACAGACAAGCCACGAGTAGCCCTCAACTCTAAAAAAAGCAGGCCACTAGTGGTGTGATATATATTCTTGTTTTACCCATACACGGGACAGACAAGCCACGAGTAGCCCTCAACTCTAAAAAAAGCAGGCCACTAGTGGTGTGATATATATTCTTGTTTTACCCATACACGGGACAGACAAGCCGCGAGTAGCCCTCAACTCTAAAAAAGCTGGCCACCACTGGTGTAATATATATTCTTGTTTTACCCATACACGGGAGTCTACGAGTTGACCAGAAAGCCACGAGAAGCCTCTCAAACTTAAAAAAGCTTGGCCACCACTGGTGTAATATATATTCCTACATTAAAACTAGCATCTCCAAGCAGTAGGCCAGTATGTGTGATACATTTGGTTGTTCCTACATTGTACATGTGTGTGCTGGTTGTGCAGCTTTTGGCAATAATTTTAGAACATTTGATTGTGTGGAAAATGTAGTGTGTTGTGTTTTTGTGTCTCAGGATTCTGTTTAGTCTTCAGTCTTGGAGGTAACAAATATTCAATGTCTTAAATGGGAAGATGGTTCATTTTAAAATAAAATTTGCTTGTTTGAATTTAAAATAGTTTTGAGTATTTACTGTTTATGTTGAAATTGATTAACACCTCTTAAAGCAAGCGA